AAAAAAAATTTTCATATCGGCGGCATATTCGCCGATACCGATATATCGACGACAGGCTCATATCGGCCGATAATATCGGCTAAACGATATATCGGTCGGGCTCTACTCAAAACATTAGATTCATCCGCGCTGGAGCCGTGCCGGCGCACAACCCACGCAAGGAAGATAATTCCGCAAACAGCTGCAATTGCAGGTTTTCAAACAGAGATGGCGACAAAGAGGCAAAACTTGCGGACTGCAGCTTTAAGTTTGAAATTATTTTGAATGAAACTAGTGTAAGTTTTGATGGGGAACAGAACTCCATAACTGATTTTCAGGGACCTCAAGTTAAGAAACCTCCCAACAAGTTGTTTGTATGGGAAGCTATAAAAAGGATGTTTATAATTGTTTTAGGCATAGAATTGTTCATCCAACAGTTGAGTTAAAGCAGAAGAGGGAAAATGATGGGGACATAAAGATTTGAGGTTTCACGGCACACTGAGAGCACATCTGCTAAAGCTCATCCTCAGCACTTCAACACTTCATGTTTGCGCAACTATAGAAAGGGAATCTTCAACCTTGAGGGATTTTCTCTTTATCTCTTTCTCTCTCTATCCTCTTTGCTCCTCTCCTCCTCCTCCTCTTCAGTTAAGTAGCCCAAATATTAGCTAAGTGTGTGAGGACATATGTGTGATTTTGTTGCTGGGTAGCTTAGCGTGTAATGCTTTATGTCAAGATAAGTCATATGTTATGTTAAGCTTTGAGCTAATATTTGGACTTAATTCAATAGGGGCAGGCACTGAAATTAATTTTTCTGTACTGGGTTTAAGTTATTTTTCCAAGAATAGTGAAAATCTTTGTATATTATTATAAGATATGAGTGAGTGCAGTGCCATACAGAGCGTCATGGTTTGGCATTCTGTGGAATGCCAGTCACGATAAAGAAACCCACCACAACCGCACAAGGGTGTGGAGCAAGAGGAGCCAAGGTCAAACATACAAACACATCCACTTCAGCTTTTCCCTCAAATTAATAGGAAGAGCAAGTAAAAGTTCCCATGTCAAGATTCAATGTTTTGCCAAGCTGAACTTTGGGCACCTTTTTATGAAGGGATTTGTTTTGGCATCCTTTTTCCCAGGTGAACATTTATTTTAGTATAAAAATGACTCCAAAGAAAACCATCCTAAGAAAACTTGTGATATATCCGGTGAAGAATAAACCAAAAATAACTTGGTCACAGAAGTGGCACCACATAGACCTAAAAATATAAGAATAGAACAAAAAGAAAACGAAACAAATAAAAACATTACTTATACTCATAAATTATTATGTAAATGATGACGGCATGTTTAAGCAAATGTGATTTTTTTTTTTTTGAATTTACACCTGACTGAATTTTCCATCCCAGAAAGCTTACCTGTTTAAACTAAGTTATGATTGCTTTTATTCACTTTTAGCCTGTGGTTAGATCCAATTCCTACATCCTACTTTTAATAAGATATTAGGACATGAAAGAAAAGCAGCTAGTTTAACCTCTTCCAGATGCTACAAATAGATCAGAAGAAATGCCAGGACATATTACAACACCAGAGAATAATCGTTAATGTAGTGCTTTGTGAGATTTCCGCTGCTAATTTAGCAGCAAGGTAAGCAATTTCCATTCATTACCTCCGGCTCACTGTTGCTACTAGCTCTCCAATGCTTGCGTTGGTGAAAACACTGCTGTCCCTATTGTACTGCTGTACAACTCTCGTTTCCCAGTTTGCTGCTTATATCATTAGCATGCAATGGTTTAGTACTGCAGCCCATTCTCAAGTGTTTTGGTCATCTGTGAAACATTTAGTCTAAATCACACTTTGGTTCCTGTCAAGGGTTTGTATCTGTCAGTGAACTGTGCCTGCACTTTCCATCCCTCCATCTTTTCCATTTCTCCCGCTTCTCTCTCTTTGTCTTTTCTTTCATTCTTCTGCTCTCACAGGGCTCCTTTCAATGACCCCAGAGTTGTGGCCCTGCAGGCTTCACTCTGCTTCTCTATGTTAACCACACTCTTGCCACAGCATGCTGATGCAGAGAGGGGAAGACTGCGGTCGGCCAATTAACCAAGCACCCGAGTCAGGCCAAACAAAACTTCCTCTACTGTTTTTACAGCAAAGGCCTCCGAATTATGGCTTCCATATGCATGAGGAAGGGGAGAAGATAGGCCATGTGTCTGACATTGCCTTTGTTGCTGTTGCTGCTGCCAGAACTGGGTACAGATGAGTGAAATGAAGGGACAGAGAAGTTGGCACTGTGGAGTGAACACCTGGAGAGGGGTGCGACTGTGCAGGTGCAAACTGACTAGCATAAGTTAGCATTAGATACACTCTTTCATTGTAACTCTGTTGCTCTGTGCTGTGACAATCTGATATGGGGCAGAAAGGTGACTGATAGTATTTTTCTAATAAAAATTACAGAACAGTTTAGAAAATATTTTAAATTTCCAGTCTGTCCACTGGAGAACTATTGAGGAAAGCTTGGTTGCAAAACCTCCACCAAAATGGAGAAGCAGAAAGCTATGGAATAATTTCACACACCTGTTGGCCTGTTTAATGAATTTGCATGCATATTCATATCAGTTGGATAACACTGTGCCCCTGTGACACTCTTAAGGTTTCTTCAATGTCAGTCTGGCTGGACATTCATCACATGAGTAGACTCAGTCAACAGAGCAAAGCCAGTGGTCAGTAAAGCAAGTGTTGGGCTCTGTGGCTTTCATTGTAACTCTGTTGCTCTGTGCTGTGACAATCTGATATGGGGCAGAAAGGTGACTGATAGTATTTTTCTAATAAAAATTACAGAACAGTTTAGAAAATATTTTAAATTTCCAGTCTGTCCACTGGAGAACTATTGAGGAAAGCTTGGTTGCAAAACCTCCACCAAAATGGAGAAGCAGAAAGCTATGGAATAATTTCACACACCTGTTGGCCTGTTTAATGAATTTGCATGCATATTCATATCAGTTGGATAACACTGTGCCCCTGTGACACTCTTAAGGTTTCTTCAATGTCAGTCTGGCTGGACATTCATCACATGAGTAGACTCAGTCAACAGAGCAAAGCCAGTGGTCAGTAAAGCAAGTGTTGGGCTCTGTGGTTACTTTAGAGGCAGTTATAAAGGCCTCACCCTCTAAAAACCACTTCTAGTGGACAAGAGCCAGGGCAGGTGTGTCAGATTGTGTGTCTGAAAAGTGCTCCGGTTTTCTCAGCTGCAAGATGTGGATGTGTGGCAGAACAAGGCTGCTGTCTGTTCCCTGATGGGAAATGGATACATCTGCCACAGGAGCCTGCCTCACTCTTTCATCCTGCAATGCTACTGCTCACTCATGTGTCAACACCTGTCTGTTTGTCTCCGCTTATTCCCAGTCAGCATCTTCCATACATCATAGACATCCGATTACTGTTCCAGGCCCTTCGCAATATCTACCCCAGGAGTCGCTACAAGAAACTGAATTGTCCTTTAAAAGTTCTGCTTGAAAAGTCCTTGTAAAATCATTGGATTTTTGTTGGTCTATGACTTCTTGACTCTGCAGTACTCCTGAGTGAACCAACCCAGTCTCTGTCGTCAGGTATACTTGAAGTGTGGAAAGAATTTCACAGTTTCACAGTTATTTGTGCAATTCAGAAAGTGAATGTCCAAACATGCAGCTCATGGTGTGGTAAAGCTTCAGCAGTGGAATCTGGGAATGAGTGCCAAGAAGGTGAGCTGAAGGAAGCTTTGTGTTGACTCTGCTAACCCTGAGCATGTACTTGCTCTTCTTTTCTGTGTCTTCAAGGTCAACAACAATGGCCTGGTGTCTTTCCTGAGGGAGGTGTCTCAGTTCACCCCTGTGGCATTCCCCATTGCTGGAGACCGCAGGGTGGTGGCTCCGTTCTGGGCAGATGTAGACAACCGACGGGCAGGAAAAGTTTTTTATCGAGAGAGCAAAGATCCTGCCATCCTGAGAAGAGCCACTGCAGACATTAATCATTACTTTCCTGAGTTCCCTATGTTTGTCACTACATGGGTGCTGATTGCTACCTGGCATCAAGTCACGTTTTTTGGTGGCAGCTCAATAACTCCGGTACCAAGTTCATGTCCTTTTTTATTATGTTTCCTCTAGAAGACCATCTAACGCATGGTTTCTCAGGTCTGGCCCTCAAGGTCCACTGTCTAGCAGAGTTGATCCCTGATCAATATTAAACTCTGCAGGATAGTGGACCTCAAGGGCCAGAGTTAAGAAAATCTGATCTAACAAGTAAATGAAAATTCTGAATACTGGTTGTGGCAACTTACTTTCTCTCTGTTCTACTCTAAAGGTCAATACATTTCAAGTAGTTCTCATCACAGATGGTGAGCTCTCCTTCACCATCTTCCAGTACCACAATATTTCTTGGACAACAGGGATGCATGCTACCAGCGGTGGTGACCTAGCAGGCTTGGGAGGCATAGCTGCACAGGTAAGGTCATTGCCTTTACTCATGTTGGTTTTTAGTTTTGACTGAAATGACTTAAGTGACATTAAAATGTGAAAGAATCCACCCTGAGAGAACGCTCCCCCACTTCCACTCTCTTCCTAGGCAGGTTTTAATGCTGGCGATGGGAGGCGCTATTTCAATATCCCTGGCTCTCGGACAGATGATATTGTTGAAGTTGAAACCACCACAAATGTGGGCTATCCTGGTCGTTGGGTCTTTCGTATTGATGATTCTCAGGTGCAAGTGGGCAGCTGCAATGACTCAGGTATGCCACCAAAGGAAAGGAAAAAAAGAATCAGTGTATCCAACAAATTAGAAAACATTATGGACAGTACAAACAGGAAAATATCAGTCTGCTCAGACTCTTTTCCACTGTGCTCCTCAGCTTCGGTCTGTGCTAACTTAAGGCCTTGTCAAAATGGTGGCCGCTGCATTGATGACTGCATCACTGGAAATCCCTCTTTCACTTGCTCGTGTTTGGCTGGCTTTACTGGACGCAGGTGCCAGATAGGTAAACGAATGATGAAATCCTTCCATCCCTCACAACTCGTACTCATCCTTTGTGTTCTTCCTCGCAAGGAAAGAGAAAGTCAGCTTGTAAAAGTAGAATTCCACCCTGGAAGCCAGGGGGACAACCTAAGGGAGAGAATTTCCCCTGGTCACATCTGTATGTAATACGAATGCAGTAGAGTCCGTCCAACGTTTTGCTGTGGTCAAATCATTACCTTTTCATTCACCCCCTGCACTTTAGGATTCCCACATGTTTTCATTCCTGTGTGCACATCTAATAAAAGTCACATCATATTTGTTGTTCTTTTGTGTGTTTTAATAGAGGTTGATGAGTGCTCTTCATATCCCTGTCAGAATGGAGGCACATGTGTGGACAAGATCAACCACTTCATCTGCCTATGTCCAGTGGGATTCATAGGGACAACATGTGAGACAGGTAAATACCCAATTCTTCAATTATCGGACTCCAATTTCAATTATGCATTGCATGTAAGTTCAGGAAAAGAAAACGTATTGCTCCAATATCAATAAGAAGCTTGTATTTCTACAATGTCCAATGTGTGGCTCTTCTCAAAAAGTTGTCTAATGGGGACTAAAATAGCGAGTGAAAATGTATGTGAGTTTTGAACTCCGCAAGCTCTTCTTTTCGTGCTGTGTCCTCCCCTCCTCCCTTAGCGCTCTGCTGGCTTCAACCTCCTTCTCGTTCCCACAGTCCAGCCTGCAGAGATGTATCAAACCTCCAATACCTTTCACAGCCAGAAGTGCATAGTTTCAGAGTGAGGGGAACGGTGTGGAGGATATATTAATCAGCTGAATAAATATCCAGTGTGTGTGTGTGTGTGTGTGTGTGTGTTTATTGCCTGCAGACATAGATGAGTGCCAAGAGACCCCATGCCTCAATGGAGCACAGTGCATACAGGGTGTCGGCAACTTCACCTGTGTATGCCAAGCAGGTTACACTGGGTTCCTATGCGAGTCAGGTGAGCATGAATATTGGGAGTGTCACTGAAAGGCCATGACTTTCCCCAGGGAACATTTCCTTTTTTCCGCATTAGGCCCGCACTTATTCATTTGACAGATGGTGTTATCTAGACAGACTTCATGAAGACTGCTATAGTGCAGTACATTTAAGGGCAGCTAGTAAATGGAAATATATGATCAGTTACTTTGATTTCTTTCCCTGTGTTTTCATTTTGGGTCAGGTTTTATGTTCCAAATATTCAGAGTTGTCTGAGTAGACCTTGATATGACTTTTTAGGAAAAAGCACTGACATGATTCCCCTGCTTAACAAATTGGGGTTCCCACAATGGAGGATATTGATGAAATGCAAGCCCAGTTGGGAAGTACTCTGGAAACTAAACCACTGGCCTTTGCATATCTTGAACCCTTGTTTCTACATGAGACCAGATTACTGTTAATACTAGACACCTGGTCAATGAAACTGTACACCTGCATGAACTTTCATACATTCTCACATCTTAAGATATTGATACAATCAAAACCAAGCTCGAAGGATTGCCTTTCTCACGCTGACAAATTATTCTCTACACTGACATGAATCTTGTGTTTTGGAATCCAGATATCAATGAATGTGCATCCATGCCATGTTTGAATGGAGGTGTGTGTGAAGACCTGGTGAATAACTACACCTGCACCTGTACAACAAACTTCACTGGAAGCCACTGTGAGACAGGTGTGCTTTTTCTCTCGAGTTCAACCCACCATATCACTTTATAAATGCCAGCCAACATATTATCCAGTCTTTGTTTTTGTTTCCCTGTGCAATGGGAAAAATGTTTAATGATAGAAGATGTTTACACAGCCAGCCACCTACTTTCCACTTTATATTTGGCTAGCTGTAACATTTTCCAACTGGGACTGACACAATGAAATTGGAAAAATAAAATGAATAAAGATGAGGGAACACTCTGGGATAACTATGGCTTCAGACCACATGTCTGACTAATTGAACTGCAAATAATGTCAGCCTCATCTCATAGTTATCAGATGCTTGGTCAACTCTTATCTATTCATGAAAAGAAAACTACTCCAGTATCAATAAGAAGCTTGCACTTCTCCCATGTCCAATGCATGGCTCTTCTCAAAAAGTTGTCCAACTATGGTTTTAGATGACGTGTCTGACTAATTGAACTGATTTATTTGTAAATAATGTCAGCATAGTTATCAGATGCTTGGTCAGCTCTTGTCTGAGGTTGAAGTGGCTTGACCAACCACCAGTGTGGTTGGACTTTCATTTAAAATATTTAACTTATTTAATTTTTGTTAATGTATTAGATCATGCTGCCCAAGTAATACCTCCAGAATATACTATAATTATATATATATATATATATATATATATATATATTACCCTAAACAGAGTTAGTTGTTATGGAAAATTCCTCTACTACTGATGCTGCAAATAAGACAGGTAAGTCAAGGTTCTTCAAATTCCTGCCAAGATTTATCTCCCTTTCAAAAGATCATCACACTTAATATTTCACTTACAGTTTCCTGCGATGGAGAGAATTGTGAAAAGCGTCAAATCTGCGAGTATATTGGCTCTGGAAACTACAACTGCACCTGCACCCCAGGTTACTACGGTGACGACTGTGAAGGTACAGTACTCCCAGACTTTAATGCATGGTAGCTACTCTTCTTAAGTAACTGTGCAGGAACATGGTACAGAGGAGAACAAGGCAGACACCACTATCCCACAGGAATTTGAAGCACTGCCTGAGGAAGACTATGCAACCGTGATAGATGAGCATAATTATCCAAACCCACACAACCTCACCCAGTTTACTGCTCAGACCTTGCAGCAAGTCGCTTGATGTTGTAAATAATTGCTTTATGGCACTTTTTACTACTTTACCAACAAGAGGAAGGGCTCTTGTCTAGACTTAAAAGGGCCTCTGTTTTATGAGACAGTCCTAATGTTTGGAATTCACTTCCCTGCAACAAAGCAGGCGAGATTTGTTTGGACGCTCTAACATCCAACCACAAATCTCCAAAGACTCAAGTTATGAAGATGATATGAGCTGCAACATCCTCATATTCCGCTTTATCTCATTTAGTCAATGTCAGTCAGCACGATATCCCTGCTCCCAGGATCACTGTGTACACTGCACACTTTGTGCCCCTATAGATTTAAAAGCACATTGTGAGCTCTAGTAAATTCATCCTACTTGTCCACCTGGAGCTGAAATAACCATCGACTCTTATATATCTCCTAAATCTCCAGAATACCTTCCTGCCCGGCTCACTTGGAATATGTAGTGGAAAAAGTCATTCAGATCTCTCAAAAAGAGAAGGTAGAAGCTCACAGACAGAACCTATGAGTGTCTAATGGAGCACTGAGATCAAAGAGACTGACCTTAGAGACAACAAATGAAAATGGCTCCAGCAAATTAACAACCTATTAATTGCCCCTAGGGTAACACAATTTGATCAAAAACATGCTACATATTATCAGAAAAAAATAACACCCTCATGCGAGCCCCCTGGACTTCAAAAGGAAGCAATTTAACAGTGATACAGCAAGTTACTTTGATCCACTGCTGCAATTACTGAGGGAAGAGGAAAATAAAAAAGTATTAAGCTTTACAAAATACTGACTTACAGTCATCCAGCACTATGAACTGTGTGGGAAAATTGTGGGAAAGACTGACCCAAGGTACAAGTTTATAATGTACAACAGTACAACAAATCCCACCACAGCACACTACGCTAAACTATGCTCATGCACACACACACACACACACACACACACAATGTAACATTCCCACACATGCTTCCACTGAATTCACACTTAGTTCAAATTTGACTGATGTGAAGAAAGAGTAACATTGTACAATGGTTAGAATGTTTACTTATCCAGAAAAGCATGCTGACCTCCTTCCAAACGTGTCTCTTTATCTGTCTCTTTCTGTTCTCTTTACATCACACTTAAATCCCTACAGAGGAGTGTCCCTGTCAGAACGGAGGGGTTTGTGTTGATGTGAATGGCACCTGTGAATGTCCAACAGGCTTCACTGGACTCTACTGTCAGTTTGGTATGTATTAACTGCAGTGCAAACAAATACAGAATTAGTTTTTTCAAAGAGTTCTAAAGACGTTATCAAATTATAGGTATGAGATTTCCATTGTTATATGCAGTGTATTTTTAGGACAATAATGTTAATTTCTGATTTTCCGATTTCTGATAAGAGGGAGCTTCTCTTGGCTACTTGAAATGTTGGTAGAAAAGATAGGCATAGTGTTCCAAATTAAGGGGCAGTCGTGGCCTAATGGATAGAGAGTCGGACTCGTAACCTGAAGGTCGCGGGTTTGAGTCTCAGGTCCGGCAGGGATTCTAGGTGGGGGGAGTGAATATCCAGCGCTCTCTCCACCCTCAATACCACGACTGAGGTAAGACCCTTGAGCAAGGCACCGAACCCCCAACTGCTCCCTGGGTGCCGCAGCATTGGCTGCCCACTTCTCCGTGTGTGTGTTCACTGTATGTGTGTGTTTGTTGACTACTCACTGCTGTGTGTGTGCACTTGGATGGGTTAAATGCAGAGCACAAATTCCAAGTATGGGACACCACTTGGCCACACGTCACGTCCCTTCCTTAAACTTCAGGAAGTGTTTTTTTCATCATCAGGCCAAACACTTAGCATCACATGTTGGTTGAACACAACCAACTTGTAACTGACAAGTGACAACTTGTAACTGACAAGTGACAATTCAGGAATCATTACATCGCTAAAGCTGTTTCACCACTAAAGCATGGTTTCCCTGTCCTGTGTACAGTTAGCTAACCATGGAACAGTTTGTAATTATTCTGTACTAAATTATGTATTTTTGAAAATACACCAAACTGGGAACCATTTGGCCTCATGATGGAAAAGCACTAAAAGGTCCTTTATTTATTGACCAACAGAGAAAACTGTATCCAATTGAAGAGTGTGGGCAATCTTTTATTCTAACAAAAGCACTAAAAGTGTCTGACAGTCACAAGATACATGTCGTATTGATCACCAGAGAAAATAGTACCCATCTAAAAAGTGTGGGCAACCTTGTATTCAACAAAGTATTCCAAAAGTAGTAGTAATGCACACATATTTGTACAGTATAACAACTAATTTCTGCAAAAAACATTTTTACTCCTTAGAGGTAACACAAACACCCTGTAGTAACAACCGCCCGTGTCCAGATGGAGGTCCATGCTTAGAGTATGGCGGCACATACCTCTGCACCTGCCAAACTGGTGTTGACTTTGATCACAAGGACTTCTACCCATATGGTAAGAGCCCTGGAGAACCTTGAAGCCATGTGCAAGCCATGGTCTCCATGACAAATGAACAAATACTGTGCCAGGTTTTCAGGGTGGCAAAGGTCCCCAAAGCAACTAAGGCGTTATGTTGAGTAAATGAGAAAAGAAAGATTTATTTGCATGTTGACATAATGTGACGGTAATGTTTCAACTTGGCTATTGAAATACACAGAGGATCTATGCTGTGGTGTGCATTTAAATGAAATCATTCCAACACACTCAAATTAAAGTTACTAGTGAGCCTTAAAAAACGATCACATGCTGTGAAGGAACGTGGTGAAGCTGGTGTGTGTGTTTTTCAGTACAGCCCCGATCAGCCTGCGATTCCTCACCGTGTCAGAATGGAGGCTATTGCTATGAGAGAGATGGAGGCTATATTTGTGAGTGCAAGCATGGCTACAGAGGCAAGCATTGCGAAAGAGGTATGTTACATCTGCTCAACGTGTTAACATTTTGTCCTTGCAGACTTACATATTAAAAGGTAGACATCCAATTATTGTACTGCATCATATTGTTTAATGCACCACATATCCGTTTTGCAGAAGTCATTTAGCCTACTTGCCAGTACATACAGCATTTTTCCTCTTTTTTTCCTCAGTCAGATTAAGTATCTGTGCCTCTAGTCCCTGTCGTAATGGAGGCTCTTGTAAAGAAGAAGCTGACAGCTACCGATGTGTCTGTCCCTACCATTTCAAAGGGAAACACTGTGAAGTGGGTATGTATATAGTATTTCCTGCAATTAGTGGTTTTATGGTGTGAATATAAATACAAGAATGAAATTTTGGTCATGTTGTTTAAAGAGTCTTATTAGTTTGATAAGCAACCCATTTAATCCCACCGGTCACAATAGTGACCGTAAAAAAGGTTTTCATTTATAAAGCTCTAAAAACCTTACTGACTGATGTTTTAGTGCACTTCCTGCAAATATGGAAAAAATAAAGGGTCTCAATGAAATATGTGCAGTTTCACATGATTAGTGCAAATTGTCACATGACCAGAGCAGTTTATTTCCTGTTTGAGAAGATGATGACTGCATCAAAGCTCCAACACAAAAGGCTAGTAAAGTATGTTATAGCATAAAGATATGACAAAGATTTTTGGTACACATTATCTTTAAGGTGTCTAGTATTAACATATGAATTCACATATATTCAGTTTTGTTGAATCAAAAGTTCAAATGTTACAAATAAGTTGGAATATTAATGTTGTAATACTGGTAGCACTAATATAAAAATTTGATGTTATATTTTCCAAAAAAGTAACAATTTTGAAATGCGTTGATGGTTGAATGTTTTTGTTTTTATCTCAGTGTTCCTATCAATGTTGCATAAAGTTTTTTTTATGCATAATAATAATAACCCTAGAATGTGATCAAACAGTTTAAAATAGCTGGGCTAAGATATATAACAATTTTTATGACTGGAAAAATATGTTAATTCAGTACTCACCTTATCCCACCGGTCACAATTGTGACTGACCATAAAATAAAAATTTTCACACTTCCAAAAAAAAAATAATTATTGATTATTTCAAAGGGTTACTAATGACACATCATTTGGATATTTTCATGTCTGGGAAAAATTTGGGATTAAACGGGTTAAGGCCCTTTCATATCAAACATGTTTCATGGGAAAGTTTTGAATTGGAACAATGCATTTGTATTAAGCTATACATTAAACAATTGCCTGCCAACAAAGCAGGGTTTTTTTTTTTTTTGGCTGATGAATTTTTCTTCCTCCAACGAAGAACCGTTCCAAAAGCAATATCAGAGCATTCAGTAGTGCTAATGTGCTCAAAGTGGCATTGCAAGTTTGTTCTTTGATGTTTTTATATTTATATCTTATTCTCTTTGTAAAGTATTATTACGACATGAAAACAAGATTTGTCAAAAGATTAAAATGATAGCAATTCAGTGTACGTTTTTTTTTTTTACTATAGTTAAACAAAAGTACTACAATGTAGTACAGACTTGTATAAGAAAATGTCAGGTTTACAAAATGATTGGTTTGATGTATACTTTAGTAAAATTACTAAACGTTCATGTTGCACTTTCTACTGTAGCGGCATGAATTTACATTTTCTTCAGTTTTCTTTTTAGTTTGAAAGGTCCATTCGTCTGTGATTCGCTTATCTTTTACATTTACATTACATTTATTCATTTAGCAGACACTTTTATCCAAAGCGACTTACAATTGGGGAATACATCTAGCGATTCATCTTAAAGAGGCAAATAGACACAGGAAGTGCTCGTAATACCAAGTTTCAGGCATTGTTCAAATAAGTACAAGCTAGACTGGGGATTAAGTAAAGAGAAGCAAAGGTTTTTTTTTTTAGGATGAAGTCGAATAGTGACAAAAGAGATGAGTTTTCAGCTGTCGTTTGAAAATGGTCAGGGATTCAGCATTCCAGATAGGGGTTGGAAGAACATTCCAACAGCCAGGAATGGTGAACGAGAATGTTCTGGAAAGTGATTTTGTGCCTCTTTGTGATGGTACCACGAGGCGTCGCTCACTAGTGGATCTCAGACTTCTGGAGGGGATGTAGATTTGTAATAGTGGAAGTAGGCGGGTGCTGAGCCTGTGGCTGTTCTATATGCAAGCATCAATGTCTTGAACTTGATGCGAGCTGCAGCCGGTAGCCAGTGCAGGGCCCTTTTGGGCTCATTGAAGACCAGTCGTGTTGCTGCATTCTGAATCATTTGTAGAGGTTTGATTGTGCATGATTGAAGTCCAGCCAGAAGAGCATTGCAGTAGTCCAGCGTAGAAATGACAAGGGCCTGGACAAGAAGTTGTGCAGCATGCTCCGTTAGGAAGGGCCTGATCTTTCTGATGTTGTGCAATGCAAACCTACAAGATCGAGCAATCTTTTTGTTTCGTGTTTGCCATGAAAGGGCCTTAAGTGTGCACTGTTAAATTCCCAGCAGTTTGCACCCAAGGGATGTTACAGTTCTCAGTCACCCTTCCTCTTCTCTTTTTTGGTCAAATGGAAGAAAATGTTTGGAAAATGGCATTTCCGCACACACAGAGTGCCATAAAACTACACAAAGAAAAAAGCTCTTCAAAGCCAAGATGCTTTTCATCTCTGGATTTTCATTATCCCAACTTTGTCCAACATTACAGTTGTGCAACTGTTTGGCCTTGTGGAATGATCCAATTTGCTGGAGTTTGTTCAACACTTGGATTCCTCACATGTAGAAAAAACAACTTGCCCTGGCACATGCACGAAAAGCTGTTTCTCTTTCTCAGTGCTACTGTAATGATCAATGATTTCTCACACATATTGACCTCATTTTGACGCACACATGGCCATGCTTTCTTTCTCAAATAAATATGCAAGCGCACACTATATGCACATGTGTACACAGAACTGTACAACAACTGTTTTAAAATATCTTATGTTTTATGTTTAGGAAAGCCAGATCCTTGTGCTTCCAGTCCCTGCCTGAATGGCGGAACATGTTTCCACTACATTGGTAAATACAAATGTGAGTGCTCCCCATCCTTCATAGGAAGACACTGCGAGATCAACAGAGGATCCAATTCGACTTTGGAGGGTAATCAAACTCTGTTTTACCTCCGAAGTACACTGAGCTGTTTGCCAACACGACAGGAATCAGGAGCTCACACAGCTCTTTGCAGTAGTCACTATTCATTCATTTAGGGGTAACTGATATGCATGTTAGGCGGAGAACAGCAGTCGTCTATCTTAATTCAGATGATGCCAGGACGAAGCAGCAGGTGCCAGTTCCTGCAGTAAAGCTGGGTTGAGTGTCACCTCCCCAGAGATGAAGCTGGATAAAGTCCTCAGTGCATTTGATACTCTCTTCCTGAACAGGAGTTATAACTCTGCTGTTACAGTTTTCCACAAGGTGCGGTTAAATTTGTGTCCTGCTGTTCCATGATAGGATGAAACACCATCCCCTTGTCACCTAAAACATTTCACAAAAAGGATGTTTTTACAGCTTCTCTCTATTTATGAATCTGCTCGTAGCTGTAAAAGTGGCCATGTGTATTAGGTAAAGTGAAACCGGTAGGTTCTTTATGTTTTCGGGAAAAGCAATAATTTATTTTGTAGAAAGAAACAAATAACTGTTGCTGCCACTGCTCATTTTGTTTCATAGTGTTTCTGGCATTCTTTTTTGCAGTGTAGGGCTTTGTCACTGTTTAATTAACGAAATAAATTAAATTCTTCAGCCTTAGTTGGATGATTTTTTTCTCGGTTAGAATTATGTTATCTGCTTCTGTGTATTTAGTTTCTTTTTTCAATAGCAAATAGTAAATACATTGTAAAGTGAATTTATATTAGTATCTAATATCAATGTAACATCCATAAATATGATAGTGAATAATTATATTGTCATAATTTATCGTGATATGATTATTGTAAAACGTATAATTGTTTAACAAACCTGTCAGGTTTTTTATGACATGTCATAATTATACTCTGTGCACACTGCAGGTCTGGACTGTGGCCCCCCTGTGAAAGTCAAGCACGCAGAGGTGCAGTATTCCTCCACTACCCCGGGCTCGATGGCTCTGTATTCATGCCACCCAGGCTACACACCCCTTCCCAGGGCCACCCAGAGCATCTGCAGCAGCCAGGGGTCCTGGAGCCAGCCTCCAGTCTGTGAAGGTTAGTGGAGATTCAAAACCCTTGTTGTTCAAAGTTTGCCCAAGACTGTCCCGCCCTGAAACCAACATTCCAAAATGGTTGGTTGGTTTGGAATGCTGGGAAGAAGAGCTGATGAGCCTACAAAATGTCAAACGAGTAGAAACACTCTAAAACAAATTGTAGTTTGAAACCAACATAAAGTTTGCATAGCGTGTCAGGGTGCTAACAGAAAGTAGTCAGGCCTTGGTATACAGTTCAGAGTTCTTAAACACAAAACAATTCTGCGGTCTCTCTGTGGGACATAAAGCATGATGCTGCTCTGGCAACATGAGCTACTACATCATTTGTATCACATGAAATAAACAGTCTAAGTACACAGTGAGACGGAGAGAAATCCAAATACCTGGATTTCTGTTCATCTTGAGAACTGTTGCTGATGGACTTGCATGCAGATTTGGGTTTCTGCTATGGTATTTGTGTGAATTTTTGATTCTGTGCGAATCTTGATTCATACACCAAACCAAAGATGATCCCTTGTACACAAAATTTGTGTCTGTTTATGTAAGTGTGTGGTGTGTGTATTTCAGGTTTTGTTTATATATGTGTATGTGTTTTCAGGATTTGTTAAATGCTTCCAGTGTGCTAGGATTTGTACATGAATGACTCTCATCATCCCCTTTATTTTTCCAGAGATAAACGAGTGTTTGTCTCAGCCATGTATGAATGGGGGAACTTGTCGTGATAGGGTAGCCTCCTACCTGTGTGAATGTGAAGATGGTTTTAGTGGTCAGCGCTGTCAAACAGGTAACACACTGCATATATCTTGCTTATTCTTAATTCTCTCTCTTATGTCATATTGACATTTTTATATTAAGAGATTTTGACAGCTCATTGTGTAAAACCTGGCTTGAGTTTAGATTTCTGTGAATGCTTTGACAGATATTGATGAATGCCTTTCCGAGCCATGTAAGCACGGAGGTACATGTGAGGATCAGCCTGGTTCTTACTTCTGCCACTGCCAGCAGGGCTATGCCGGGCAGGACTGTGAGATAGGTAACATCAATATGTTAACTACTATGAACTGTTTTGTTGTTTTACAGCCTTGAATCACAGTGGGTTTTTTTTCCTCACTGATCAACAGAAAAAGACTCTTTCAAAATGTGATCAATATGATCTTAAATAAATACAAAAAACAAGTTTGACAATCTTTTAATATGAACTAAATCACTGAGGCAGCCAGTTGGTTTAAAAGTGACATGAATGGCTAAATTAAGATTAATTGAGTGTAGCTAAGGGGTTTCAATTGATTGTAATGTAAATACACTTCTATCTGAAATGTCCAATTTCTGGTGAGTCAATGCTGTAGAAGAATTATCTGGTGAAAAGAAACACTCTAAGTAGCTCCAAGTGACTTTGTCAAATGTAAAACAAATCCAGGCCATTGTGGCACAGATGATCTATGCCTTCAAAATTAAGTGGAAATGCAGAAGATTTAGAATCTAAAATGATCAAGGCTGTGCAGATAACTGTTGCCCGAATGCTTCTGAGTACCAGTCACAGTTTTATGGGTGAATGGCATAGGACAGCTCTGCTACATTCTTCTACAAGGCATTTGGGAGAGTTCCACCAGCTAGAAGGTTCCATGGTCTGATGAGACCCAAAATCAAGCGTAGCGTTCGTTCTGGCAGGTCACGTTAGTCAAGCTCGCGTCAGCTGACCCACATATACCCACAGGGATATGACACATATCACAGCACCCATATATAACGTCCTTCAGTATTATGTGCAGCCTCGCGTTGCTCAATAGCTAATTACCCTTCTCCATCCCCAACTCCTCCTCTAGACCAGTCAGGATTCAGCTTTCTGATTCCCCTTTGAATCAAACTAATTTCTAAAATGTTTACATTAAACTATTGAACATAAATAATATCCGCAATACTTTTATGTTGGTTCTGTTCTGTTTACCCTAAGGGGTTCATCGCTGTTCTCATTCATGCTAGGCTGCATGGATTCACAGGGAGTTCTTGCCCAGAACAGAACCATACCGCCAAACTGTATGCTAATTGTCAATCATCTTTGACGATAGTGGTCCTGATAAAACTTTTCCTGATAGAACCAGAGTTTTTGGCCAAGTTAACACAGTGTATAATCAGAAAAACACCTTCCCTAATTTGTGTAAAACATGGTGGAGATTCTTCTCTGCAGAATGGCTAAAAGACTTGATGAAGGTAAAAGATAAAAATGAATGCAGCAAAATACTCAGAAATCAAGAAGGAAAACCTGATGGAGTCTGCAAGACACCTACTGGGTTGGCTTGGACAAAGGCCGTAGACTCAGTCTCCATGTAACCTGAATGGGGGAAAACTGCAGTGGCCAGTGCAAATCTAATGTTATTCACACAGACTCAAGGCTGTAATTGCTGCCAAAGGTGCATCTGCTAAACTCAAACACTTGAGTACTTATGCAAAACATTAGTTTGTGAGTAATAACTGTAATAACCAATCTGTAGAAAACTGTTTTCATTTTGACATTAAAGAATATTTGTCTGTTGATCAGTGTAAAAAAAAATCCCAGTTAAACTATCTGTGACAGTGTAAAACATCAAAACTATACTTTTTATAGACAATTATTTTGCAGCCTTAGGGTGGATTTATGAAGCATCTACCTGAAAACAGAAAGGGTCTTTGCAAACATAAAATCGTGCTTGTAGCTTATATAGCAATAATCTAAACTCAATAACTTACATAAGGATGTGCTACAATATGGTAACTATAGAAAGAAAAACAAACCTGTTTCTGTTGAACCTTGATTCCCAACTCATTTTCCAGCTTGCATCTGCAACTGTTTTTGTCATTCTGCGTAATCTGCTTTCCCCTTGCTTCTGGCTTACACTAAATCTAATTTGATACACAAACACTTCACACCTACTTTATCTCTTAGCCCACCTCTCAGAGTGAAGGATTTTCCATCTTATGATACAGATGTGTGTTTATTCTGCAGAACAGGATGGATGTGAGCCAAATCCTTGCTTGAATGGAGGTGTATGCCGAGGCTACAGGAGGAACCACCTGTGTGTGTGTAAAGAGGGTTATGTTGGAGACCGCTGCCAGACATGTGTGTTAACCATTATTAAATATTACTCCTGAAAAAGTGCACAAAACATAACAAATTAAAGAATAAACAAGAAGTATCAAGATTGTAACTGACATTGAGGGAACTATGAGAGAAAAAAGTTACCTCTGACAAAATAAGTCTGCCTTCTGCTATGTTACACTGATTTGAATTCATCAAAATCCTCACAAACTTAAAAGATTTTTCTTGATGTGAATAAAATTAAAACTGCCAGTGATATCCATGTACTCTTCCACTTTCTGGAAGTCTGAGGTCATTATTTCTGTGAATTTGTCAGATAGGGTGCTTTCAATGTAAGGTCTCAATTGATCCTCTGTTGCCGTCTAGTGGAGAACCCATGTGTACTGCAGCCGTGCGGGAACCGAGGCGTCTGTTGGAGTGATAGAAGGGGGAACTACAGCTGTGCCTGCAGGGTGGGCCACACAGGGAGAGACTGTGAGAGAGGTCAGCTCCTGATCTTCCATTATTCAAAATCAACCCATATCATTCATTTTATTTAAGTGGAGGCTATTTAGAAAAGAAACTAGATATTAAGATAGAATGGAATTCAGTTTGTGTTTTTACTGGCAAAGTGATTTGTTAAATTGCTTCCAGGGAAGTTATTAATTATTCAGAGATTTATGATAAGTTTGTTACTTATTACAAACTTAAAATATGTGCATTCTTTGGTATGTATTTGGTATGCATGTACTGCATTCATAAATTAATTTTCCTATCATAGTTTTAGAGCAGTGGCTTTCAATCTTTTTAATTCCAAGGGTTCATTTCCCATTGTTCACAACAGTATTTGAAGAGCCCCCATGTAGACTAACAAGCTTCCACAAATTAAATTAAGTAACTTAAATTAATTTACATTATTAATTAAAATTAATTTACATTAATAATATAATTTAAAAACGGAAAGTTTCAGAATTACAAGTTTTCATAGCTGAATGTTCTTCAGGGATCCCATTTATTTAACCAATGAATTTACATGATGTTTCCAGTTGTTCTTGATATATTGTTTAAGCTATTTATTTATTTATTTAATTTTACAATTTCTAGCTAGAAAAATGTAAATTATTTTATAAAATCTTAAAAACTTAGCCCTGACCCATCTTTAACAATTTGTGGAGTACTGTATATTTTGAGTACAGTGTGAAAATCAATGATTATTTATGATGATGTACTTCTGATGATTTTAGTCATTGTACTTTCCATTGTTATGCAATTTAAAATTTAATTTGGGTAGTAGATGCTGGTGATTGTTTATGTATTAGACTGTTGGATTGTACAGTAGGGATGAATATGGGATCCTATATAATTCATGTTCTAGTCATGGGTAGCTATATATTATGTAGTGTATAGGTGGATGTGATGTTTTGTATACAAATGGAAATTGTCCAGAATTTAAATGGAACGCGTGTGTTTTTAGTGATTGAACATTGGCTAATGAATGATGATGTCAATAGAATTAATGATTTAAAGGGGTCATATGATGTTGCTAAAAAGAACATTATTTTGTGTATTTGGTGTAATGAAATGTGTTAATGCGGTTTAAGGTTAAAAAAACACATTATTTTCCACATACTGTACATTATTGTTTCTCCTCTATGCCCCACCTTTCTGTTGTTCTGTCAGGGAAATAGGCTGGATTCAGGTGCGGGTTCAACAGAGGCTTTATTGTACAGAGATTATCACCACGGGCAATGAGCGCCTTCGCGGACAGTTAGTGTGGACGTGGAATCTCCAACCACACAGATGGGTGGATAGCAGCGGCTGGAACAAGCCAGAACAGCGGCAGTGGAGACGAAGCCGGAGGGGCAACTCGTTAATCCGAGCGAGAGGCTGAGCAGCCCAACAACGAGACCGCAGAGTCTAATTAAGTGGATGGAGGGATTGAACTGTTCAACACAATGAAGAAGGCCTTGAGCTGAAACGTTTGTGTTTTGACATTGGTGATGAATGTAAAATAAATGTTAAAAAGAAGATTATTTTTGTGAGTGCGGATCATGGTCTCATGTGCTAAATATAAAATGTTAAAACACCATGGACATTTTATCTAGAAATCACTTTTAAAATTAAGCTACCTCATACTTAAAAAAATAAAGTTGTTGAGGGGTGAATTAAAATAAGAGATATGTTTATTTGAGTTGTTTTAACTAAAATAAATGCTTGTTTTTATTTTAAATCATCTTAAGACATCTTGGGGCCCCATTTGAGGTTTGCTGAGGTCCCCTAGCAGGCCGCAGCCCACTAGCTAAGAATCACTGGTTTAGAGGGTATTTGATTGATTTATAATACTTTCACTGTTCCCAGACCTGTTGCCTCCATCTGGCCTGCATGTGTTGCGGGTAGAAGAAAATGAAGTCGAGTTACGCTGGGATCAGTCAGATGCCACTCAGAATTTAATCAGCGGCTTTGCTGTTGCCTTTGCTCCTATTGGTCGAGGACCAAGGAAGACAGACTTCCTGGAGAAGCAGCATTCTACCTATGTACTACAGGGCCTGAACCCCGGACAGCTTTACAACATCTCCACGTTCTCCGTCAAACGCAACACCAACAGCAACGACATAAGCCAGCCAGCTTTCGCTCTCATCCGCACTAGTGAGAGCTCCCAATTTTTCTTCTGTACCTACATGGTGATTGTCACATCCTGTTTGCTTAGCACAATGTGACAGCAGGATTTTTTTTTTTTCATGTTTATTTGTTTTTATTTCGTAAATAAAAATTATGAATGTTATTTGTGCCACAAGAAAAAAGATGTGAAGCACTATTACATTTTCAAAATTTTTACACAATAATAGTGCTAAACTAACATGTACATGTAAAGTATTCACTCACCTGTTCTGTCGCAGGGCCACGTAAGGTGGAACAGCTGGAGGTAGTGAATGTGTCGTCCTCTCAGGTATGGCTGCGGTGGCTGGTGCATGTTGGACGCCATGCAGCGATCAGTCAGGTTCGGGTGTCTCTGGTGCCTGCAGATGGTAGCGGACCTCGCACAGCCGTGCTCAATAGCAGCGTCACAGAGTACTCCTTCAGGTCAGTCATGATGACACAGAAAAAGAAAACACAAGTCTGCAAATAGTTTGCATAGTCTTAAGAGAATGATCTCATAATTGGCCCATCTAGTCTGTTGCAGCCTTCAAGTGCAGTCAGAAATGTTCTATTTACAAGTTCCGAGCACATGAATAACCATATTTTTCCCCCTTACCATACAGCCAAATATCGTGTCATAATATAATAATGAATCTCTGGACCTAGAAGTAGGAGATTCCGAAGGTGCACTTGAAGTGTGTAAAGTGGCTATCAACACATCATAAAACAAGAACATGTGAATTTTTAAACATTTGCACAATGGGTGACAATCTTGTCTTGTAGTTAGAACGTTTGCTTGCAATACACGTATTGGCCACTAGATGGCCACAATAACGTCTCATGCTTGCCTGTTAACTTTAATAGTTTAAAAGTGAAGAAATGCACAGCTCAATATGATTTACATATACCTTTTAAAAATCACCTTTTGTGTTTCACGGAAAAAATTCATGATGGTTTGAGTTCAAGACATGTGAGTACATGATGATAGAATTTTTAGTTGAACTTGAAATTAATTTTAGGCTTGCTAATTACTTACCACAGAGCTGAACAAAAGTAGCCTATCATCGGTTCCACTCTTGCGTTAAACTGGAAGAGTATTGTTTTCTTTACATATAAACAGTTAGTTTAGTTCCTTTTTTGGGGTGAGTGGGTTCTGTAGTGAATATAACTTTTGAGTTGAGGGAAAGCGGCAATTTCCGGGGCACGTCATTTTTGGCGGCAGTTTGAAAAAAATTCACCTTTTCTATTCTGTAAATACAACTCTTATTGTACACGATTCACCCATGTACATATTTCATTTTTAAAGTTTAATTATTAAAATATAAAACTATTATAATATTATTATTAATAGGCATATTATTAACGTTTAGCCTACATTTAATATACTGTAACATATTATGTTTCATTGTGCTCTTTAGTAAGTAGTAGTAATAGGTACATAACTCTAAATGATGTAAGAAAAATTATAATGCAGTTTAAAAAAAAATAGGAAAAGGGAAACAAGCAATTTCATTGGTGATGCACTTTTTAAAATTATTTTTTAATTTAAGCAAATTTTTTTTAGCCAAAACCAATATTAAAGTTTTCATTTAGCCAAAAAACAAAAAAAATCCCAAAAATAAAGTTTTGGTAATTAAATTTGGGTGATGGTACTCTTTATGCTATTCAGGGTGCTGTGTTCTCAGGTGATACAGAACTTAGTCAGGTTAAAAGTCATATTGAATTTAGCATGGATCAAAAATGAGACTGGTGAATAGACAGTCTTTGCAATGGCACTTCAATCCCTTACAGCCTCATTTTCATTCCTGTCAAAAATTAAATATGGCACTACTCTGACTAAGGTCTATTAAACCAATCATAGTCAATTTCTTTTGCAACAAGCCGTCTCTTGATATTTCAGGCGAAGAAATTTTACATATTGCTACTCCAACATCATTTTTGGTCACGGTGATGTGTGTACGCCCTGCTGATATGTTTACCTGTTGTAGTAGTGTTGTAGCTTATACTTGTATATGTGGCACGAAATAAACCCTGACATAGTTAAAACATGTCATCGGAGAAGTTCCAATTACACATCACTGATTTCAGCCCTCCAAAAGAAATTCTTTTTTTTTTTTGTAGTTGTTGCCAGTTTCTGAAATGTTGTTGCATCACTACATTTAATACAATGATCTGAGATCATATAAAGGTTTAAAATATGAAAATGAAAAACACATATTTTACTGATTAGTTGTGTGTAACCCACAGCACATTGCTCCCAGGTCAGATGTACACAGTAGATGTAGTCACACAGAGTGGTTTACGCCCTGAAGACCTGCCATCAAGTAGCAAATCTGCTGGGCCACTGCACTTCTGGACCAGTGAGTATCTCTTCAGCTCTGTGTTACAAACACATGCACCTCTGTAGTAAGTAACAGCACATTATACTGTTCTCTCCATCAGGACCACTTCCACCTCAGAACCTTTCACTCTCCCACATCACCACCACAGCTGCTCGAATCACATGGGACCATCATCCTCGGAATCTTCCAGACGGGTTTGTGATCAATATTACTCGCGGCCTGAGCACCCGTAGTCGCTACCTACCTGATGGAAGTTTAGGGACTTATACACTACGAGACCTCACTCCAGGACAACATTACCGACTTGCCCTCACTGCTGTGCGCAAAACGGGCCAAGACAACATTCAGAGCGTCCCTCAACACCTAGCCTTCACCACACGTGAGTCGCCGATATTTAAGCTCACTGCTTGTCTGCTGATTGTCAAGATGTCTTTGTCATGGTGACCCATCTGTGTATCTTGTATTGCACAGTACCAGTTCCAAAGGGCCAAAGCAGAGGTGACAGACCTAAGGGAGGACAGGACTCCCAGACAGGACAGACCTTGACACAAGTTCAAGATGGAGGCACAGATGACCACACAGAACTCCTTGAAGAGCCACAAAGGTACAGATGCAACAATGCATTTATGAACGCAATGCTAGGAAGGAAGCCATAGAATAATGAGCTCTGTGTGTTTGTTTTCTCTTTCAGATATACAGAGCTAATTGACGGAAGAGGGAGAATTACAGCTAAATTTACCAACCTTCCACAAAAAACCGTCAGACACCGCACAAGTCAGTAATTATTTCATATATAATGGTAATGCATTATAATTTTAAACTTTTAAAATATTATTTAGATTACAAAATCTGCTAAATAAATAAATGTGTGTTTTATTCAAGTGGTTTCAAAGTAGGAAACTTGAGAAAAAACTATTTCTTAGTTAACATTTTAACTGAGGATAATAAATACAATAATTTTTGGTCACATTTACCATATTTGATATTACTTTCATTCTCCTGAAGATAGTCAATCAAATCAATTAGATTAATTGTGATTATTACATGTCAATATATTCTGGAAAATTGCTCTGGAATGATATGTTTTATGAAAGCACTAAATAATATATTACATTTAATTAACTTTCTTGTTTCTCTTCAGGTTTATATACATATATAAATATATAAAATGTATATATATATATAAAATTTGATGTGGTTTTAGTAGCCTACAATGTACTTCAAAATGTAATAATTTTCAAATTAATTAATTTGGAGGGAAAAGGCAGCATAAAGCAACATAATATGGTATTTACACTATTATGCTTAACATTTTTTATAAACTGTAAATGGGTCACTATATATGAAAAAAAAACTGCCTTGACATTTTAGGAAGGGGTCCCTTTGAAAACCCCAGTTTTTATTTAACTTGATTTTTCTATTTCTGCCATTGTATCTTTCAAACAGAGCCTGAACCTCCAATCAAATTAGAAAAGATGGAAGAAACCACCAATAAGATAAGTCTAGCTCTGGAAATTCCTGAAGAAGCGACAAAGAGTAAATCTGGTAGGTAATTTTTCAATAAAACTCTATAAAGATTATTGTTAGACAAGTGAGAATTGTTGATTAACTTTAGATAGGGAGTTCGTGGTTCTTAAAACAGGAGAATGTTTTAACAGTTGGTGGTATTCAAACTCTCTAATTGGTCCCAGCTGAAAGAGAGACTGTGGCAGAATACCACTGCATGTATTCTGAATGATCTGCAGCATGACAGTCACCATAAACAAACCACATCTATCAGCAATCTATTATGGCTTCAGCCCCCCCAAAAAGTGACTTATAGCTGTTTAAAAATGCATATTTATGTGCATGTGATTGTGTATTTAAAAGAGCAGCTAAATAAACACAAACATGAAAAAGCAGCATGCTAGCCAATGTTTAAACTTTTCATGTAGCAAAGCATTGTGTTTATGTGTTTGTATCCAAAAACATTTCATTAAATTTCAGAGTCATCCCAAGACTGCAGGACTCAGCCCTGCCAGAATGGTGGAACATGTGCGCAGATCAACGAGTCGTTCAGCTGCAACTGTGCTGCTGGTTTCAAGGGCAGACGGTGTGAGCTATGTTAGTATAACCACGTCTGTTCATTCACAAGCATACAAACACAAACCAATGAATACCTTATAAACTAGAATTAAACTTGAGTTTATTTATTATTGTTTTAGTTTATTATTTATTTATTATCCCACCACCTAGACACCAGAATCTGTATTTCACCAAAGTAATTTTAAATGCATCAATCTGAAAAAAAGATAATCTATCGTTTCACAAAATGCTAAATAACATAATCTTTACTAGCTTTGCCTGTAATAAGATCTTTAGTCAACTCCACCTTTTATATATTTTCATTCAGATTGTCAGCGAGTACCTCACCCATGTACTCGCCTTTACTCCGAAACAAAGAGTGTGCCTGTGTGGGAGGATGGTGTCTGCCATTATTTGTAAGTGTCTGCTCTCTGCATATGTCTATTGTCCTGTTTTGCTCCAGTCTAATCCAGTAGTTGTATCTCTTTTTGCTGAGTACATGTTTTCACCCTCAGGTACAAAAGGACATATAAAGTTCAGCAGGATGTTTGTTTTAGAGAGATCTGTGAGCCTTTGCTGCCTAAGAAAGTACTGCCTAAGACTCCAAGTATGTATAAACTATTGTACACAGTTCTTCCTGGTTCCACTGTACAGTGGATGTAAACATGTGGTGGAAATGACTGCACAATTTAAATCATGGAATTAAGACAACCTTTAAACAACCTTTTTTCCTCTCTCTCATCAGACAGAAGAACTCAAAAACAACAACAATAGTGGTGAGTATATTTAATATCTCTGATAGAAATGGACACAACCATATTGTCACATACTGAATGTGTTTTTTTTCTGTTTTAGGAGGCTGAACCAATGACAACTTTGGGGAGTAACTGCTTCTCTCAGTCTTAGTTTAAATGAGGATGCATTACCGTCATTGTTCACCCTTTCTTGCAGCACTGGTCACCTTTCATTGGCTACATTGTCCTATGGACGTATGTTTGTTCATTTACAGCTCCAGGGCCGTATTCGTGAAAATTCTTAGTAGCTCTTAGTGATAAAATTCTAAGAAAATTTTTTAAAAAGTGAAAAGTTTCCCCTTAAAGTTAAAGAGAAGATCCTAGTAAAGATAAAAGTTATTCACAAAGCATTTTAAAAGAGCTCTTAAGGTCAAAAAGTTTTAGGAGTAGGGAGGAGGCCTTTTAAGAACCTTAAAGGGATAGTTCACCCAAAAATGAAAATCTGATGTTTATCTGCTTACCCCCAGGGCATCCAAGAGGAAAAATATCCATATTCAAAATATAATAATCACTTGAATCTAGCTTGCGCTCACTGTCATAAACAGAAGCAGTTTCGGGGGAATGACATATGTATGAGGTCGGCTTTTAAACAGCTTGAAAGATCAAAGACCATTTTTAATATAACTCCGACTGGATTCGTCTGAAAGAAGAAAGTCATATACACCTAGGATGCCTCGGGGGTGAGTAAAACGCAGCCATTTTTGGGTGAACTAACCCTTTAAGAGTTTCTTTAGCAGAGGAGAAAATGGGCGAAAGATGAAGAGGGAGAAGAAATGTGTTGAGACAATGGATGACAGTGACTTAACAAGATGATAGATTAGATCATGTATGTGACCCATCTTATTAGAGACATGACAACTATATATACAGTGCTTAACAAATTTATTAGACCACCACCCAATGTAAGGTTTGCGCCACAGCTGCCCTAAACTAACAGTATTGATGATTGCCAAAATTATTTTGTATGTTTCTGTAATGATTAATCCACCAGTATGTGTAAGCTCTTTAGGCACAGTAGTATTTCTAATGCTAAAATATAATTATTGTTGGGATTTAATGGATTCAAAGATAGATCACACAAAAGTTTCATCAAAAGCAAGTCTTTGGGAACAATTGGAAACTATTTGGAAGTCAGTAACAATAGAGACTGTGGAAAAGTATATAAAAACAATGGCAGCAAGAATGCCAGCTGTTTTCAAGGCGAAAGGAGGCCATATAAAATAAAAATAAAATATAGGGTTTTTTGTTAGTATGTGTGAATACTAGAATAATAGAAGATTATTTAGTTGTTTCAGTTTATTTGCCCAATAAATGACAATTTTTAGTTTTGAAAAAGTTTTTGACAGATTCCTAAAATATTTGTTTTCTCACTTTATTATGGCAGGTGGTCTAATAAATTTGTGTGTGTGTGTGTATATTTATATATATAACTGTAATTTCAAAGTGAAGGCTTATAATAGACCCTATTTAAGTGTTCTTTTTTTCCCTTCTTGGACAACCAATCACAGTCTTCAGAAGAATGTGTCATACCCAGCAACGGGGTCAGCCCCACCTCCTCACTAAGATGAAAGTTTTTGTCGTTTTTTTCACTCAAAATTTGTTCTCAGATTGGTCCTGAATCACTCTTAAGCTACGATTCTTAATTTTTAAGATGAATTAGGAGCTTTCTGAGAGGATTCTTAGAAGAATAAAGGCTGAGATCTGTAGATGATCTTAAACATTTGATTTAGGAGTTATCTGCATCAAATAGCATACCTCAAATGTAAATATTATGTGATATTGACATGTAGTGGCCGTCAAGTCCCTCAGGGAATTTTTTGTATTTTTTATTTTTTTTTGCCTGTTGCCTGAATTGCCTGTTCAGTCTCCAAAACCTACAAGTATTTTCATTCAACCATTCATTCAAGCCTGGTTCTCTCCTACAGCAAGTTCATACAAAATACTGGGGGAAAAATGTCATACCATTGTTTCTGTTTGTGTAAAGGAAAACTGTCTGCTAGCTACCATGTAAATAGTGTTTATAGTCTGTTTTTGTAGTTGAATATTTTAATAATAAAAATGTTAAAAATTCATGGTCTCTTCACTTTTTAAGGAAAAAAATAAAGCCTCGGGTGGGAGGGGGTAATATGAAACTGTATAAAAATATGTAAGGATTTTTAACTGATAAACTTTAGGGCTGGGCATTCTTATCCAGAAAACAGATTTTGAGTTTTAGGATAAATAACCAATGAGGTTATGCTAGACCCTTAATTGCCACAAGGTGTCGCTATGTTGTAAAAAAAAAAAAAAGGATCTTCCTTTCATGAGGCTAAATTTCCTGAAACTGTTTGTCTGGCTTTGTGAAATATCATGGATCTTGCTCACTGAACTTCAAGTCTACGGTCCCAGGTAAGCGGTGACACAGGAAGTAGATGGTTACGGATATCAAATTCCTGGTCTATCTCAATGTGTCTTTGAAGAAAGCATTTACACAAAGGATTGGACTGAAGTTATTGCATTTATGCCATTAGAATAGATTAGATTCAGCTTTATTGTCATTGTGTGCAAAGTACAACTACAAAGAAAGCCAATTAAATGGTTAGCTCTGACCACACTCTCAGAAAAAAAGGTACAAAAGCTGTCACTGGGGTGATATCTTTTCAAAAAGGTACACTTTTGTACCTTTTAGGTACTAATATGTACACTTAAGGTACTAATATGTGCAAATATGCAAGTACTAATAGGAAACCTTTAGGTACACATGTGTAGCTTTTTTTTTACCACCCCACTGACAGCTTTTGTACCTTTTTTCTGAGAGTGCAGAAATGCAAATAACAATATGTCTATAAATACGTACATAAATATGTACTATCATGTTCTATAAAAAGTGCATAAGTATGAGGTTGTGAAAGCAGTAACCAGCTCAGTGCAAGAGACAATGTGTACAAACAGAGAACAAAATCTTATAAATGGGATAAAGTCTATAATCAGCTTTATGATGGTTTCTTTGCATATTACAAACAACTATTTGCAATTTAAGGAAACAAACTGATACAAAGGTTCTTGTTCATCCATCAGAGATTTATCAAATAATTATTCTTAGTGATATAATTGGAGAAATAGTAATAAAATAAAATCAACCTTAATAATTAAATTTTTTAAAAGTGATATTATTATTAATTTCAGATATATTGTAATGTTTGAGATTATATCTTCAATCCTTTTCAGGTCACAGATCCCTCACTGTATATTCCATAAAACTAGTGTTGCAATTTAAGTAGCCTATGTAATACAGTGCTATTTTAATATAGCCTAATTACGTACTTTGTTATGGCTGCATTTTAAAACAATCAAAAAGAAAAAAAAACAATGCTGATGTACAGAGCCACATTACATTTTAACTTTATACATTTTAATGTAGAGATACAATGAAACATTTAGATACTTTTGTTTCTTAGCTTTTACTTTGGTTGAAAGCAGAGGTGGACAGTGAAGTATTTTACTTTACTCAAGTAAATTTAAAAAAGTATCTGTACTTTATCAGTGTTTTTCTTTGGAAAACTTTTTACTTCACTACATTCCAAAGCATAATGTACTTTTTACTGCACTACATTTCATAAATAAAATATTTATTTTTACCTTCAATACTTAAGAACATTTAATATGATAAATTAAAATAGTACTTTCTTTTACTCAAGTAAAACATTGAATTACTTTTACTTGAGTAAAAGAAAGTACTACATTTCTAATGTAAGTAAGAAGGCTGTTAAATGATATTTAATATGAAACGTAGTGCAGTAAAAAGTAGGCTACAATATTATGCTTTGGAATGTTGTGAAGTAAACGTTTTCTAAAGAAAAACAATGATAAAATACAGACACTTGAAAAGTACTTTTACAGCAGAGTAAAAATGCTTCACTTCTGTCCGCCTCTGGAAAGTTGAAAACTTAATGTAGTATTTTTATTTAACGCATACTTTCATATTTTACAAAAATGAGTTTGAAATCAAACTGATTCAACAGGCAGTAACTGGCGTAGGTAAAAGCTCACAGTTGTCACCTGCCTGTATTATTATCATTACATTAAACACACACCACCCCAGGAGCGCGCCCGTAAACGTCGGTGCGTGCGCGCACTAGTTTTAAATGACCCCCTCCCTCCCCCCAACCGCCCCTTTCTTCAATGAAAACTGAGATTGCAGGGGGCGGGGGTGGAAAAGACCATGAAAGGACAGAGCTGGAGGACACTTTTAAGGGCTGTTTGTTTGGGATAGTATTTGTGACTTGTCCCCCGACTTTTTATTTTAAGAAATAGAAGCTAAGGACTTTCTCCCAGGAGAAACACAGCGCTTTAATAGCGTCCAACTGGTCCCGCCACAGAGATTGAGCGCGAGCTAGCAGAAGTTAGCTGGACGGCTATCGGCGGCGGGTGAGGGGTCGACAGAGAGCGCCGTAGTCAAACCTAGTAGCATGTCGCCCTCGGGAAGAAGTAGCTCGAGCTTTGGATGAGGTTCCGTGGCGCAGTTCGATCGCAGAGACTTTTTGACGCGACGGTGGGTTGTGATGTTTCCGCCAGCGCGGGGCTCCGGTGGAGGCGCGGCGTCGGCGGTGTCCCGGGGCTGGCCGCATACGGTACTATGGAGACTAGGGGGTTTCTATCTCCTCCTGCTTCTCGAAGGGGCCCGATGCCTCGCCAACCCGAGCAATGCACCGGGCATAAACAGTAACAACAGGCCGAATGTGAACGTCTTCATGAGCGAGGAAGAGGTCAAGAAACTCCTGGGTGCGTATACTTTATTTCTCCGTCTGCTCAACTATATTCCTGCTCTATCCAAAGTTTTGCTTGGAACTAGAAGTTTTTGGCACTCTGTCAAACTAACTTAATTGCTTCTAACTAACTACTAAAAGCTAACTCTTGTGTGCGTTTAGTGTCCAGACGTACACAAGTTGTTACAAACATGCTCACAAACTGCTAAAAACGTTGTTGTAGTTGGTTAGCTCTCAATATGTTAGCTTTGATAGGCCAAAACAATCCGCAGCGTCCTTGTAACCTCAGTTTAATCGCTAATATCTGCCCAGAAATGTTACAAAATGCACATGTGAAAGTAGCTTTGGGAGGTTATAATTCAGCATGCTATTTAACAAGAATGAAAGACCATTGGGTTTGTCATTAGGTCGAAACTGGTTGCTTGAAAGTTTTCCAAGTGTATTCCAATGCTTTCCATGCTTGTGTTAATTATGTGGTGATTTGTAAGTTTTATGTCACTCACATGTACAAGATACTGAGCAGAGGTGTATGAGCTGATCTGAGTCATTCATTCTCATTGGTGTGTGTCAGAATTAGTTGACACAAAAGCCACACAATGGATTTTTCCTCAGAAGTTTTACTGCTTTATGTCAGACCAGTCAGTAAACACTGTAAATGCAAATGCAAGGCACATTTAACCCTGGAACGCATTTTGTTGCCGCCGTTAGTATTTATATAACCAAAGAGTACTTAATCCAATTCTTTAAGCTTGTAATGAGAATCAGAGATTTTTATAACTGTATAGCAGACTACTTGCATAAAATGCATTGTTGTCACTCTATATCTCTCAATAATATGTCTTAGTATGGTGACATTTAAATGTCTAGTTTTATTATCAAATTTCTGTATTTTTGGGGGTCAAATACAATGCACTACAATGCTGATTGAGAGATGTACAAATACGTTTCATCAAAAGCCTGTTGTATATATTTGATACTCATATTTTTACATTATTTTCTTTAAAAAAAAGTATGGAAGGTGTGTACCACAGGTTGTTTTTAGAATTATATTAAAATGCTTTAAACAGTCTATTAGAGAGTAGAAGTCATGTAGAAGATTTTGTACAGCAGGTTTTTCAGCAAAGTTTTGAACATGTTTGTAATTTAGAGGCCTTAGAAATTCATGCATCAAATATGATACAGTAGGCTTTATGGGGTTAAATGCAAGAGAGTGCATTTTTTATACATTTCTCACACTCTTGTAATCCTAATGGAAAACTATATGTACAGTATAATTAGGCAGTTAGTTAACAACATGTTGTTTATGTGTTTGTTTATGACTTAGTGGCTCTGCTTAAAACAATTTGTGCAGAATATAGTCCTCTTTCCAGACTAAAGGACCAAACTAGATGTTTTGTACTCTGAATAATTTAATGCATTCATTGTTCTTGAAGATAAAAGTCTTTGGGATGCCCTTGATATGTTTGTATTCAGAGTAGATTTTTGGTTCAGGAACACTGTGATTAATGCAGTGAGAACTGAATAGTGGTTGTTAATTGCCGGGTATTTGTGACTGGGCCAATAAGCAATCATTATCATTGCTAATGTCACAGCGTAGTTAATGAAAGGGTTGGGGGCTGGAGCATCAATTTCCTGCTGGAAAGAGGAAGCGGAGACGAGGGCATTTTGAAGCAGCCTTGTTTGAACTTGTTTTTAGGGTTTACCCTTTCAGCTCAAATTGAGAGCAATTTCTATTAGATTGAAAATAAAACCGAAATTATATGTGGCATTTATGTAATGTGATGCAAATGCTGTAGCATTTAGCTTCAAAGCTTGAACTCTGAATGTTGCCATATGGAGTATAAGGTTTCAAATGAGGCAGTACTTACACTTTTTACATTTGAATGCTTTGAATTTTGTAAACTATGTAAGCTAACCAGATGTTCAAGACATGTTTAGTTTTTGATCAATGTTGGTATATTAACGGCTGATTCTGATATCTAAAAAGAGCATGAGGGCCGATATAATGTTCATATATTTAAAGAATACAACTTAAACCTATTGTACATAATATTTTGTTTAAATTCGCCAAAGGTAATTAAAATGGAAAGGGTTTTCTTTGAATCTTGGTAATAAGAATCCAAATGTGAAGGCACAATGTGGGTTTATTTTAGGGCTGAACGATTTTGGAAAATAATCTAATTGCGATTTTTTTTACCAATATTGCGATTGCGATTTAATATGCAATAATTTTTTTTAAATCTCTTTATGTTCTGTATTATTCAACAAAGACAAGCTATAAATCATTGTATAGTATGACCAACACACTATTAGATAGATTAAACATAAATGTCCTTTTCTGTAGGCCAGGCTTATATGTTACCATGAAATTAGGTGATGCATGAATTGATATGAATGACATTTTTATTTAACAACTACAATCACAGTAGTATATTGACTGATTTGTTGAACTTCCAACCTTGTAAGCATGTAATAATTACAACATAAAGCACTGATCGCGATATTATCGCAAATGCAATTAATCGTTCAGCCCTAGTTTATTTTAGCTTTTCTGAAATGCAAACAGGTTTGAAAGATGATTGTCCCCCTCCGGTCTCATACCTCTGTTATCTTCTGTAAAGCTGACCTGCATATTTTTTGTCACGACTGGCTTTGGGAACAGAGCTCATAGCTATGAGTGCCTCTTTCTGGGTGCTCTGCATTGCTGTGTCTCCTCATTGATGATTGATGAACTTTATGGTGGGCTTTTACACTCTTTGATGATCATATCAGGTTATTATAATCAACATGTCGCCTGTAGTTTTATGCGGGGTGCTCTGGCATTTCTCTTGTGATGGGTGCTGGAATGGAGCTCTTTAAAATTTATTTTAGGGGAAGTGGAATGGAGCTGCTCTTTAAAAAAAACAAAACAAAACAAAACTTCTCTGTCATTTGCCCCTTCGCTCTTCTGCTGCTGTGTCACTTTGTTTTTGTGCATTCTGGGATCCTTAAACCTACTCAGACTGCATTCATTTTGAACCTGAAGGTTTTATGTCATGTACATTAACTTCACATAAGAATTGCCAACAATCACTGTCATTCTCTGTTAACATGATTTTTTCCCCTTCTCTGTCTGGTTCAACAATGGGTGCTGGCCATCTTGGAATCAAAACCACCTTGTTATGCTGCAGTAGACTGAGGGGCCGTTTACACGACAACGTTTTCAGCCAAAAACGGGAAAATTTTTATACGTTTTGCCTATTCGTTTACACGACAACGGCGTTTTGGGGACTGAAAACGCATATTTTTGAAAAACAGGTTTCAAAGTGCAAGGTTTCGATTTTAAAGGCAAGCGCGGACAAAATGGTGGAGTATATGGTACTGTTATTGCTGCTCAAGAGTTTGCTAACGCTTCTTCAGCAAAGTGTGGATTTACGTCACCAATATTACAACCAACAGTGGAGACGCATCATATACAACATATAATCGTCACTTCCCTACAGGTACTGTTTACTGACAAGGTGACAGAGCCAACTACTGGCCTGGCAAACGTAATACAGAAAAACGCAAGGGAAAAACTTTTCCGTTTCTGACTACATCGTTGTCGTGTAAACATAGCCTTAGGGCCATTGTAAGCATGGGGCTGTAAGTAGGAGAAGTCCCTGAATGCATTTATCACAGGGACATCAGCAGCCTGTAGTTTTACAATGCCAGTGCCTCAGAGAATCCGGTGTCCACTGTTCTGCACAGGAGTCTGATTACCACTGATGTGGTTCAGAGATCCTGTTCTGTGACTCACAGGAATCCTTGACTTAAAAGTTTATGGTTGTGGTTGTATGGATGCCATTTTTTGGTGCTTTGAATAAATGTTGGTCTACATTTTCTCTTTGGAGTCAAATGGATTTATATTTGACTATTTTTTGTCAATGCCTAAATTTCCTCAATATCGCTATTGCAGATGTAACGTTTTGAAAGCCTCAATTTCTGGAGTTAGGACTAGTGGTGGACAAGTGGTTATTGTTATTATGTTGACATTCACATTCCAATTTTTTTTGTAAAAACTTTCATGAATATTTTGGGGGAAAGAGAACGTAAATTAGTGAAAATTGTATGTATTATTAATAGTCCTTTTTGTGTGACAGTGTAGTGTTGCATACTTTCTCTGCAATCTTGGAATATAAACTAAACTTTTAAAAACTTTACTATTTTCTATGTCTTTCCAAAATTGCAGATGATTCACTTTCATTGAAAGGTATTGTCTCCACTCTCCACTTTCTACTTTACCTCTTATTTCTTTCCTCTTGCTTGCTTTTTCTGTCATGCTCTTGTCATTTCCTGTCTGAGCTTTCAGGAGTTCTGTAATTCTTTTCACAGATCTTAATCTTGTCCCCCTCCCCTCTCTTTTTTTTCCTCTTTAGAACCGTCACTGCAAATAACCTCATCCTATACATGTTCTATAGTAACTCTGATGTATGTGAAAGGAGATCTCACTGCTGATTACAGCAAATGGTGAAAGGCAATGTTTGATGTGATATTTACATTCGTATCACAATCTGCCCTCTCAGATCCTTGAGTTCAGTCAGTATAGCATGAAAGTAAACGCTCTGGCTTCTTATGGAGACCGCTGATGAAAGCCGTGTTTTGATGGTGGTTGCTAAAACACTTGTTTTCTGTTTCAGATCCAGTTTTTGCTCAATTGATGTTTTGTTTTTGGCAGTCATGTGCTGCCTCAGAAAAATATAATTTAATTCATGTCATTGATCTCATGACTGTAATGAAATTTTAGAAGTAATATGGTTGTGGAGATCAGTATACAATCAGTACTGATGAGCTGAGTATATGTTAATCACTGTCATCTCAAAGTATCAGAGGAGCAATGAAAGCGGGTGAGAAGTAAAGATATTTTTTAAAAAGCTTCGTTTACCACAATGATTGTTTGAAATTTTCTCCCTTGTAAGGGTCTATGGCTTTCCCCTGTGACATCACTGCCTCATCCAGCCTCATGCTGTTGTAGTAAAGAGAGAAAGCTTTCACTCT